AATTATTTAGCTACCATTTGGCAAAATACAGTGTAATAAGTGCAAATTTTACTCAAGATATCATTGTTTTAGATAAGGTAAGATTTTGGACAAATTATGCTGACTCAGCATCAAAAAATGCAAATTTCATTTTTATTTTGAAAAGTTAAAGTTTTAATGTAATTTCCTTATATAAAAAATTAAAAACAAGTTTAGAACCTTTATAAACAAAAAGTTGGCTTTAATGGGGGTGAGCCTCCTTAACTATATCAAAAATAATTATTTTTAATACAATTTTCTATCTTAGAAGGATTAAAATTATACCTTACAAAATTATTTGATAATTATACCTTACTTTAGGACCGATTTTATTTTTAATTTATATCAATAATATTCCGTATAAACTAAAAATTAAATGCTATATGCTAATGATTGTAAAGTTTTTCAGATAATCCGTAGTAACAGTTGTAATAATCTACAGGATGAAATAATGTTAATTTTTTATTGGCGCAATGACTGGAGTATGAAATTAAATATAGAAAAACGTAAAATACGCATTAAAATTATCATTTGAGTACTGTAGAATATAACAACAATCTTGATGCCATGTTAAAAAACGACCTGAAATATGATTATCATATATCTGCATGTGTTTCTAAAGAAAATAGAATTTTAGGTCTTAACCGACACCTGTTTTCATTTTTTAAATTGTAGAACGTTTTGCTAGTACGCCCTCATCTTGAATATGCGTCTTTTATTTGGAATCCATTTTTGAAAAAAGATATTATTCTTATTGAAAGCGTGCAACTTATAGCAACAAGGCTATTTCCAGGTTACTAAGAGCTACTTTATTTGCAGGATACTAAGAGCTATTTTATTTGCAGGTTACTAAGAGCTACTTTATTTCCAGGATACTAATTTTTTTTTTTTTTTTTTCAATTTTTTGCCGTAGAAAGTTACAATTTATAAAATAACATAAATAATAAAACAAATGGCTGGAGCAAGAAGAAGACATCAGTTTGTCTTATCACCGAGCCTCATAGTGACTTCATTACAGGTTCTTTTTTGTCAACAAAATATATAAAATCGTGATAAATTGTTTGTGATAAAATATGTAAAAATGTGAAAAACTACGTTTTACAATTGATATAACTGTTTATATATAAATTCGTTTAGTAAAATAAATTTAGAACAAGTAAAAGTTAAAACAAATAAAAGAAATAAATTGTGCTAGTTTATTTTATACTAAAAAAGAAAAAGAAAATTTAAGTCCGTAGATAAAAAAAAACGCTTTGATTCAGATTTGAACTGTTCAAGTATATTTCTTTTGATAGAAACAATCTGGGGAAAAATTTTCCACAAATAAGGTCCGCGGTGTTGGATTGAGTATGAATTTAACTTTAATGTAAACTTTGGGATGACAAAGTTGTTATATGAGAATCTAGCAGGGTATTTATGACTTATTTTGCTAAAATAGGGTTGAAATATCGGCGGAGATAGTCCATTTTTTATTTTGTACATAAACTGTAAAACAAGATGTATGTTAATTTTGTATATATTCAATGCTCCAAGTTTGCATAAGAGAGGTTCACCAGACGCTTTTTTACTTACTCCGAAGACAATTCTACCGGCATGTTTTTGTTTACTGTAGAGTTTTTTAAGCTTAGTACAGTTTGTGCTTGCCCAGGCCATGTTACCATAGCTTAGATGACTATGTATTAATGAAAAGTATAAACTTCTTAAGGAAATGATATTTAGGAAAGGTTTTGCTTTATACATTAATGAAATATTTCTTGAGAGCTTTCTCTCTAATAGCTACTTTCTCTCTAATAGCTACTTTATTTTCAGGATACTAAGAGCTACTTCATTATTTTATATTTAGAAGAAATTATTTTATCAATCGCGTCATCCCAATCTGGAACATATTGACGTTTGACATCAAACTTATTAAATCAGTATTGAACTTTAAAAAAAACCTTGATGAACTATACTATGTGACTTAATATTTTAAATTGTAGCTATTAAACTTGCTGCTAAAGTGATTTACTGCTCAGTAGGCATATGCTTACCGCAGTAAGTAAATAAATAAACAAAAGGTATATTGCATATTCTTACCCAGTACCGCATTTGTAGCTACAGCGGTATAAGGCATATTAATAAAATAGAAGTTAAAAAAATACATGTCTACAGTAAAAACTATTTACCTGTGGTTTTTGTTTATTTATTGATTTAAAAAAAAGCAAAATACACTGTAAAAGTAATATTAGAAACAAACAATTTGTATTAAAAAATTTGTGGAATTTTTTTAAGACATGTGACACAGACTGTGGAAATCAAAAAATTATTGTCTAACAGATCAATGAAGAATTATTGGTAAACCAATGTAAAAAACACAAAGTTCTTAACAAATACAATTAAAGTAAGTTTATTTTCAGTTAACTACAAAATTAGTTAATTAACTAATTATGTAAGGATTTCTAGAAGTTTAGGAATATTGTGGTGCAAAAGAGTTGCTATCCAGTTTTGAGCAACAAACTGTTTTTTTTGTAAAAAATGTTACCTGCCTCTGAGAATGGTCTCATTTTAAATATTAATTAAATTTTAAACAATTAAAAGGTATTGGATGCCTAATACAGTAAATATTTTAATTTTAACCTAAATGGAAAAATAGAAACAAAATAAATAATTTTAAATATAAATAATGTACAGATTAAAATTTTTAATAAATAAAATCATAAAAAACTAATAAAAACAACATGATAAACTTAAATGAAACAAGAATCAAATTAATGAAATAGGTTATATATATCATAGGTTATAAATATATATTATGTAGTCAAGATTCTGAGGTGCAGGATTTCACTTTCAATCTGAAAGGTTAAAAACTACATAAATATAATTATCGTTCTGGCCGGAATATACGACAAATGTCCACATTTCCTTATCCTAAGGTGAAAATTTCTTCCACTTTTCTTTTGAGAGTGTATGCATTTTAATGTTGATAGATCCTAAATTTAGAAATAGATTAATTATTGATTTTTCGTTTTTAAATTTTAATTTTAGAAATGCTAATTTTGTTTGTGTCTTCAATAAGATAAAAGATAATTGCAAAATGGTTTGATATATCAATTTTAACTATTACTGCTTTATCTGGGCTCATCTTTTTTTTTTTGCATGTATTTAGGTGCTCTCAAAAGTCCTTACGGTCTTATCATAAAGCACTGCAGGAGAGCATTTAACAGGAAGTTCACGCCTCCTTCTGTACCAATGTCGCTTGTTGGGCTGGAGCTGGCGTCGAACCTCAAACCTCTGGGTTCTGAGCCAGAACTCTAATCACTGCGCCACGGCTGCTTCATCTAGAAATGAATTTGTTAGAATATTATCAATAATTAAAAATTTCGAAAAATGAAATACTCGAAGAAATTGAAAAATCTTTGAAATGTGCAATAGAGCGCCGAAATTCCAGAAAACAAAGAACTTCCCCCGTGGACACGGACATAAAAAAAGTCGTCTTTTAAACGTCTTTTACACGTCTTTTGAACGTTTTTGAACGTCTTTTCAACGTTTAAAAAACATTCAGTTCCATTATTTAAGTAATTTCTTTATATTTACGTTCATTATTCTGATGTTGATGTGTATTACCATGAATTTATTTTTATCTGTAATTTAGGGTTGCGCATAAAGTTACGTCAATTTTTGACAGTTTTGTGCCTTTTTCCCTAATAACCAATTGTTGCGCTTTACTGACCCTCCTAAAATTACGCAACATTTTTGTGACCCATCTCTCTTAAAAAAAAAATTATTTGTGGTTTTAAATACGATAATAATTTAAATTTTTTAGCTGCTTTATTTAACTAATTAACACGTTTTAGTACATATAAATTTTGATTACTAATGTTTTTGCACTTTTTTAATTCGAAATCAAATTGTATAAATTAACAGTGAGTGAATGGAGAAATATGGAGATGTTTGATTTATAATAAATAATTTTGTTACTCCTAAAGTTTTTTATCCGTCGATTCTCGGTTTCACTTGCGAATTTATTAAGTCTGTCTGTGATAATTTCTGGAATGATTGTTCTTTTGATCTTATAAAAATATGTTTCTTTGAAAATATTTAAACTCATACTTTTTAAGTTTAAATTCCATTTAAAAAAATAACTAAAACATATCGGTCTTCGTTATATCAATTATCATAAAAGATAATATTTTTGTACATTTTATTGTGTATGCAGGCCATGAGTCTTATAGTGACCGGTAAGGTCTGGCGTTTTCCGGTGAGGTTTTTCAACGCACCCGATAATATGAACAAAAACATTGATCTGAAGTGAAATTTAGTCATTTTTTCTACTAAAGATTTAAAATTGTTGACAAAACAAAAAAAAAAAAATTATAATAATATGGAAGACAAATTGGATGCTTATTTATATTTTATGATTTAATAAGTTTCATTTTATTTTTATTTAAACATATCATTAATATATATAATTGATACTGATAATAAAAAAAAAAAGTAAGCTGTGATAATTGACTGTGATTGATTGTGAACTACAATAACAGGAGATATTGCGCTAATGCATTAACAAGTTTTGCATATAAGATATTTTCTTTAAAATTTTCACATAATATATTTATCTTTAAAAATGTAATAGATTATTTGACTGCTAAAATAAATATTTTTTGACAGCTAACATTACTTATGCTAAAAATAATATTTTTAGTTTTTCAAGCAAGCATTTGTAGTATATAATATGAATTTTTAAAAAAGGTCATTAATATTAGATAACATTAATATTTAAGTTATTAACGAGTTTATAAAAAAATTATTAGTAAAAAATTGAAAAAAAATATTTTAAAAAATATTTTTAAAAATGTTTTAAATATTTTTAAAAGTAATATGTATTATTAAGTAATATAGCATATACAATAAATTATATATATATATATATATATATATATATATATATATATATATATATATATATATATATATATATATATATATATATATATATATATATATATTTAATAAGTTGAAATAAAAAAATTTAAAATAAGAAAAAACATAAATAATTTAGTAAGTAAGAACAAAAACATGTCAACATGAAGAAGCAGTTTTATAGAGTTCGCCAACTTGCAGATCAACGTGTTGGAAGGTAAACTTTAAATTGAATCATAATTTTTATTTTTGTGTAAAAAGTTTATATATTTTTTAATTTAAATCTACATTTTTAGAGCTGAGAAGACCGACCTTCTTACAGAAGATCTGCAGCATGTAAGAGTGAATTGACCATATTTTATTTATTTACCAAATATTGAATATATTCGTCTGTAAATTCTTTTCTTGGAGCCAGGGTTTTTTCTCTAACCCAGGATTTTTGATTAGTCTTATCATAGTTTCTTACATAATAATTTATAATAGTTGATCTGGAAACTTTCTTGGTCTCAGAGACCTATATAACTGGAATACCAGCATAAATAGTCTTCACAGTTTTATCTTAACAAGGACTACAGGAATCAAAATAAAAAGTTCCAAGTCATTAAATATCATAACTTTTTTTATTATAGCAGATCATTATTCAACCAACATGTTTAGAGCTTCTAAACACCAGAGACAAAAAAAAAATAAAGTTATAAAGCCGGAGTCCTTTTGGGACTCCGTAATCCTGGTTCTACCATTAAACATTTTTGAAAAGAACACATTTTTTCTAAAATATTCATATTTTTTATATACTTTTGTTTGGAGTTAATACAGCAAAATAATGATGTTTTTGTTCAGAAAATGAATATCTGGTTTTTATGTCTTGTTTAAATCTATTTTTAGGCACTCTACTGAGTTTGTTATTTCTTATAGGTTTCAAAAGATAATAATGGTTAAAATGTTTAATCAACTTATTACTAGTTAAATCGAACTACAGTTACATTCAATACAAATTGCAAGTTGTTTAAAAAAAAAAGTCTACTTTCTATTATGCCCCTTTGGTATAAGAGAGGAATAACTTTTTCTTATTCCAGTTGCTATATTGCTAACCTTGTTCAGAAGCAAATTTATGTACACAAAATAATGAAGATACCTATGAATTAAGCCATTTATATTAAGTCAAAACTTTTATCTATTGGAATATTTTAATTGATATACAGGGCGTAAATTAGCCCTGTAGGGCCTCATTAAACGCAGTATTCCTAAATGCTAATAAAATTAAAATTCCGAATTTAAAGGTAAAAAAATCCCATTCTCCAAATAAAGTTTGCCAAATCAAAGTTAAATAATAATTCTAAAAACTATTGTAAATTATTATTAAAAACTAATAGAAAAATAACATAAAAAAATTCTAATTTAATTATTTGTGTAAAACTTTAAATAAGATTGCTGTTATTGGTACAACCACATGATTGTCTGACTGTGAAAATGTTTCTTCGAAAAAACTTTTTGAGAATTGGGATTTTCCAAACGATTTTTTGGATTTTTTCGGCAACCTGTTTCTAAAATTCATTTCTCAAATTCTTCGCAATGCGTTCCAACAACAGCAAATATTATATAAAAAAGTTAGCAAGAAATATAGTACGATCTAAAAAGATAACAAATATGTTTGGTTTAACACCCACAAATGCTATTTCTTTACAAGTTTCGGAAATTTTCATTGAGCAAAAATTGCTATATTACTTTAAAAATTGGCCTTTATAGCCCACCAGTAAACACATAATATATATTAAAAAATATACTCTTAAAATGAAAGCGGCAACGTTATATTAAGATTACAAATAAATCAAAAATATTATTCTTAATAATAATTAATTAATATACACTGATTTTTGTAATATAAAATTGTATAATATTTAATATATCTTTAAATACCATTTTAAAAATCAAAATTTAATTTCGAAAAAATGTGAAACAGTTGCATATTTTTATACTTAAAAAAATAAATTTTTTCTAACTAACTCTTTACGTAAAAACATTGAAGTCTCCCCATCATAGTTTAAAATGTGTGAAAGCGACCAAAAAACTTCATTTTTTATTTTAAGAAAGGAGAATTGTTTTTGTTTTAGAATATTATTTTCAAATATGGAGAATTAAATGTGTTTTTTCTTATTAACTCAGTTTTATTCAATATCACAAAAAGATCTTATGACAAGTTTTTTTTATGAACATAAATTATGTTAACAAATATTATTGGTAACTGATAGATTTATCAGTTACCAATAAGATCTATAATTCATAAATCTATAAATCATAATCTTTATATAACTCATAAGATCTATAAATCATAATCTTTTATGATAAATAGTTTATTAAATACAAAAACTTAAATATGATATGGCAAACAAAAGATTATTATGTTATGTAAAAGACTGTTTTAAGAAATAAATAATAAAGAAGTAATTGCTGTTTTAAATTTCTTCAGTAATTTTCGTTATAGTTATATTGTTTAAATGATTTTTAATATAGTTTAAAATTAAATTAAATTACATTGCCTACAGTAGTCTACTTTAAAATGCGCTAATGGTGCATTTAAACTTTTAACAATATAATAACGTAAACTAGGTAGGGTTACATTTACATTTATTACCCATTTCCGGCATGCTACAAAATCTTGTGACCTGATATTAACAGGATTATAGTGTAACATTTGAAGTTAGAAGGTTATTTATTATTATTTTCTGTTTATCAGAATTTTTATAGACTGGTTGGAAAGTAAGTTGACAAAAATAATTTTTATTAAATTTTTAAAATATATCTGTGATGACATACATATACTACCTTAAACATTTTACTATAATTAATATTAATAAATTATATCAAAGTAAATTTTAATTTTTAAAGTATATATTATCCTTTAATATTTATTCTAGTATTCCAAAAATTAGAGAGCTGATACTTAGTAAGGGACAAATAGTTTGTAAGAGAAGAAAAGCCAGTGAATCTTTGCATAACATCACCAATATTCTTTCATATTTCTAGATTAGGTGTGAATAAAATTTCCAAAAAATTTCCAGCAACAAAACTAGTTTTTCTCCACCCTCAAGCGGTTGAAAATAAAAGGCAACACCTCATCAAGATCAACTAATTGCGATTTAGGCAAATAAAAGACCATTTTTTTCAGTACCAGAGCTGAACAATGATTTAAATTTACCTATCCAAAATTAACTGATTAAGGCTATCTTTATCTGTTAGGCTGGCGTAGATGTATTTATGATACATTGATTCCAGTTAAATATGTCAAATGCTGGATTTTTTTTACTTATTGCATAGGTTTTGTTTTTATAACTAGGTAACTAGGTTTTATTATCTCCTAATGAAGGTATAGCTCTAAATCTCAGTTTTATGATTATGGGGCGAACTGGTAGTCAGGACTTCCAAACTCTGCAGTAACTCTCAGAGAGTCTAATTGCATCAACAGCCATAAAATATCAGAGTACCAACAGTGCCATGTTGCACATGGATGGTGTCCCTGTTCATACTTTTGGTTGGCATTGTCAAGGCCACATTTGGAGCCCTTTGTTACGACTTTGAGTATATTAATGCTAATAAATCAATTACTTGGACTATTAAATAATGTACTGAGTATTATCTATGCTTTGAGTCAAGTTCTTTAACAAATTTAAAAATGACTAAAGTACCAATAACTATAAAACACAAAAAACCATCGTTTTTTGTGTTTTATAGTTATTATTACTTTAAAGTTATTGGTACTTTTGTGTTTTATAGTTATTGGTACATCATCATCACCAAGTTCTCTAAACCTATCATTCACTAATATTCGTAATCTTCAAAGTAACTTTTTTTCTGTTGAGTCTAATCTCTTACAAAGTTCACCAGACCTACTTTCATTATGAGACTAATTTGAATTTGGCTGTCTCATCTTGTAATCTTAGTGTTAGTGGTTATCTTCCTTTAATTCGTTAAGACTCCAATAGTCACATTCTTGGCCTTACATTTTTAAGAATTCACCCATTTGTCAGGAAACTAGGTTTGAATCCACAGATATTTATGTTGATTCAAACCTAGTTTCCCAACAAGTTACATTCTTTTATTAGCTTTTCGTTCACTTTAATCTATTCCCTTCCTCTTTGACTCTGCAGGTGTTGAGGTCTGCAACTTTTCCCTTATTAATCTGTAATGCATATAGTCAACTTTCCATATTGTTTTCCAGACAATTCGAATCATTTACCTTCTCTACTCAACTTGTCTTGTTTCTAATTCTAGGCAGCGCTCAGTTTTTCCACATTAACCCTTAAGTGCTTCTGATCATTGTTTGATCTCTCTAAAGCTATTATATCATTCTTCTTTGTCACCAGAATCCCTCTTTCATTGAACATCTTTCAACTACCTTAAAGCTGATTAGGAATCTTTCCGTGATTTTCTTTGTGATGTTCTTTGGCTAGAAATCATTTATCTTCCTTCTGGCAAATGTGTTTCTTTTGTAGCTTTTTGGATTCAGGCTGGTATGGAATCTTTTATTACCCCGTAAAACTTCCAAGTCAAGTCTCATTCTTCTCCATGGTTTTCCTCTCATTGTGCTACTGCAATTCCCAATTGAAACCATTACTTCCATATCGATTGGCAAAACAATTCTCCAAAAAACAGACATCTGTTTACTATTGCCAGAAACCATTGTAAAAAGATTTTATCTAATGCTAATTTTCTATTCTTAGGTCACAAAATCTTATATTTCATCTCAAAAATTAGGCTCTAGAGATTTCTGCAGAATCTTTAACAGTGTTGATAATAAAGGCAAATCTGTTATTCCATCTCTCTTGCATGGTTCAGACATTGTAACCACACTTAAAGACAAAGTTTTTGTCTTTAGGTGTAGTAACAAAATCTAAACCATGAAATGTTTGCTAAAAACTTTTTATCAATCTCATCTCTTGATTCTACTAATGACATCCTACCTGATATAGCTGACAAACAGATTGATCCATTGCTTGACATTCTTATTACTCCAGCTACTGTATCTAAAGTGATTCCCTGCTTGGAATCTTCTACAGCTTGTGGTCTGGACAACATATCTGTTATAGTCTTGTAGAAGCATTCTCAAGAGCTGTTGTCTATATTTTCAAAACTATTTAACAAGTGCTTATCAAAGAGTCTTGTTTTTCAGTCTGCTGGAAAACAATATCTGTTATCCCTATTTTCAAAAATTCTGGAGAAACATCTGAATTATCTTATTACCGTCCCATAAGTCTTCTTCGTATCATAAGCAAGGTTTTTGAGTCTTTAATTTACAAACACTTCATCTCTCATCTTGAGTCTAATAACTTACTTTCTGA